CCACCCATTGGTTCTTGTCCTATCCTCAAGTACAATGGAGAATAAATTGATGCCCTCTTCCCTGTGGCAACCCTTCAGATATTGGAAGACTACTATCATGTGTTCCCTCAGTCTTCTCTTTATTAAGGTAAGCATACCTAGTTCTTTTAGTCATTTTTCATAGGATTTAGCCTCCGGTCCCCTAATCATCTTTGTTGCTCTTCTCTATACCCCTTCCAGTGCTTCAGCGTCTTTTTTGTATTGTGGTGATCAGAACTGGACACAGCACTCTAAGTGCGGCCTCACCAGCGTGGTACAGAGTGGTACTACCACTTCCCGTGATCTTGATGCTATCCCCCTGCTGATGTAGCCTAGGACTGCATTGGCTTTCTTGGCAGCTGCAGCACACTGCTGAATCACCAGGACACCTAAATCCCTTTCACAGGTACTACTGTCAAGCCAGATACTACCTATTCTGTACCTGTGCACCTGATTTATCCTGCCTAAGTGCAGGACCTTACTTTTCCCACCACTGAACTGCATCTTATTAGGTAGGGCCCAATGCAATTCTCCCCTGCTTTGTGTCATCGGCAAATTTGATGAGTGCTCCTTCAATCCCCTCATCCAGATCATTTATGAAGATGTTGAAGAGCCATAGACAGAACCTTGGCATCTTTCTTTCTGTTACGGCAGGCTAACACTTGGCCTTCCCTCTAGAAAATATCAAGTTACCTTCCTTTAAATTAGATTTGCATTGCAAGCCTTTCCCCCATAAATTCAGTGAGTCTCTAATAAAACTGATTATCACAGAAATTGCCTGTTTGTAAATATTCTGCCTATACTGACTATTGGGATATTGACAGATCATAATTACTAGGCTATAAACCTTTCTGGAATTTATTTCTAAAATAGGTAGATCACTCTGTACAGTATTCACTAATGAAGATATGTTAAACTGTGGTAAATATCCAAGGATGCTTTGACGCATGAGGCTTAAAGTGGCTCTTGATTCAGGTGGATTTGTAATGTTAATTTAAAAGCTACATTACTGGTCATGTTCTTTGCACTATTGTGCCTACCCTTGTCCTAGTCTGGAAATTTTAAATTGCACACAGGATAACTGCATTTTAAAGGAGTGGACAACATGTGGTCCTAACGATCTTGTCACACTGCAGTGTGCATCATCCCTCACCACTGGTTGTTGTAACAAGGAATGATGGGAATTGTAGTCAAGCAGAAATGGCATAAGTTCTCTTATTTATTTATTTATTTATTTATTTATTTATTTATTTATTTATTTATTTATTTATTTATTTATTTATTTATTTAACATATGTCGCCCATTCTATCCAAAGGTCTCTGGGCAGCTCACAACAATTAAAATTCAATTAAAATTCAATAAAAAATTTAAAATGATTAAAATACAAATAAAATACAATTAAAATTGCCATCAGGACCCACAGTTGATGTTATTTCAATTAACAGCCTTCTGGAACAGGAAGGTTTGCGACCTGAAATGGAAAGGCAAGAACCCAAGTCTCTTTTGCACACCCCTTCCTCTCTCTACTTTCTGCATACATGCTCTTGTGTGGAGTATCAAGAAGTTGCTTTTGTTTTGTAGGTCTAACTTGTGCTTCTGACCAGAATCTCTGCCATGATAGCTAAGCAGACAAGTTCCCAAATGAAAGCATCTGCTTATCTCTTATTATGGCTTGCCAAAGTACACTGGCAAGGATGCCTAAGAGGGAAAATATTGCAGATGGCATTCTCATACAAGCTGGCATGTATGCCAAAGCACCGGAAAGTGCTGGTCTTAGTGAGTTCTTGTTTGTTGCTGTCGAAATACATTCCTTTAACTGTAGGTAAATGCTAGTGAAACCTTAGGGTTCACTGAGGAAAGCCCACACTTTCCTTATTGTACCCTGTTTCCTAGGTACTCCAAAAGCCCTAAAGAACCTTTTGAGACTGCTAAAAAAAAGCAGAGGCAAGGCAGCAGAGAGCCGGTCTTCTCCAAAAGCAGGCAACAGTCCATGAAGTGCAAAGTGCAGAATATTGGGGCTCATTTGGATATTGAAGCAGAAGTGCCAATATTGCTCGTTTCATGGAAGACCAGGAGTGACTGATGGCAGCTTGGTCTCTTTTGATACTCTGATCAAAGTTTGAATGTTCAGTTGATTTGTGTTCCACATAACAATCTTGTGCCTGAGGGATTCTACACAGAGATGCAACCAGCGCTGCAGGGTGCACTGTCCGGACGATGCAGACAACACTGGGAGGATGTACAAGCTATATTCAATATGTGGGACTCTTGGAAATTGTAAGTCATGGTTTGCTGTAAATAGACTACAGACAGGACCTATTCAGTCTAGCCTTCAGGCAATTATTTTACTAGTTGATGAAGACAGCAGTAGAGAAAGTGGCACTAGGCCTGCCACCTTCTGGGCACAACATCCTTTCCCACTGAGGAGAGGATTAAGGGTATAAAGTTGGCAGCACCCCTGGTGAAAAGTGACTGTATTTATGACATTTGCCAAAGCCATGCTGTCTGCAGGCGGGATTTTTGAAAGTTGGCATTCTGAAAAGTAACTTTGCCAAAACCTGAAATTTGCACTGAGAAGGAATCCCTCCAGTCCTTGATGGAAGGAGAAAGGGAATTGGTCTAACTGTATAGCTGCCCTGCTAATGAGCGCATCAGGGAAGCCTTTCCTCGTCTGTTGTGTAAGGTCTAAGTGCATGTTTTTCCGTTCCCTCCCCAGCCTTGTGAGGAGGAAATTGGCACCAAAGGAGTGCCAAATTGGCACCACTCCATTGGTGCCAATTTATTCCTTCTGTGCCCTTGGGGCAACTAGTATAGCTCAGTGTGTTGGAATGCCCCAGGGGCCAGATGTCACATAAACAATTGTGAGCATATGAGAATATGTGAGTAGATAACAACCTCCCATTGCTCTTACTCTAAGGTGTGTGTGTGTGTGTGTGTGTGTGTGTGAGAGAGAGAGAGAGAGAGAGAGAGAGAGATAGTGCATCCCTATTGTCAAGCTAACAAGGCCAGTGCTCCCTGTCTCTCTGTAGTTCTTCACTGCCTGCCAGTGCTGCTTGAATCTGGTCCCAGCAGCATAACACAGAACATTATTAGAAAATGTGTTGATGTGTTTTCTGATGACAAAACTTCCTCAAAGTATGCTTAAGACTAACAGCTTGATTGTAGCATGACCCTTCTTGGGCACAGAGCTCAGTCCATTAGCTGCATCTGAAGAAGAGGGCTGTGGAGTCTGTAAAAGTTTGTGCTAATATGGCTATCCACTTTAAGAACACAGGAAAAGCCCTGTTGGATCAGACTTTAGGCCCATTTAGCCCAGCAGCTGGTAGTCACTACGGAGCATCAGATGCCCTTTATGATATAGCTGCCTGTAAGCCAAACACATTCTCCTTTTGCATTTCTAAGTTTATCACTAGACCTGCTGCCACCTTTTCCCAGGGAATAAGTGAGAGCAACTGGAGATCAATGCATGTTTTGAGATAAGACAAAGAACATACTATAGTGCCCCACTGAGGCATCAGTGGTTGTTTTTACTCTGCTATGTGCCCTTGATAGGACCAGATTAAGATCTTTAGAGGTCCTAAGCTCTGAGAAGATTACAGTATAGTACTCTCTGCAAATATAACACATAGCAGGACCCATGGCTTGAAAAAAATTATAATGTGCACATTATATGCATGAAAATACTGTACTGTAATGTAACTGTATAGTATGTGGCAGAAAAGGAAACTGGTTTCGTATGCAAAATTATATGTACAACCAAATTACCAGCTTCCAGCCAAATCTTGCATTTTCATGCTTTGATTAATGTAGACAGATTTTGTCAGACTCTGTAAACTGAAAAGCTCAAACAAGAGCTTAAAACTCCTTTGGGGGCATTTTTAACAGTGGCTGTTATCTCTTTGGCCTGCACATATAGTGCAGAAGCCACTGGTCTGAAAGACCAGCAGCTCTTTTTATCCTTATTCTCACCCAACCTCCCAAAATACAGAAGTAAAAATAATAATTAAAAAAGCACCAAACGATGAGGAGGAAAATTGATCATTTCACTCAAAACATAAGTTCTCTCACTAGATGGATCTTTATACTTTTTAGTTGTTACTGGTTCATACTCTATTGTTTTAGGTAGGGAGGTAGTTTTCTTGGGACTCTTGAAGGAGGGAGGGAGGGAGGGAGCCTAGGGTGAGGGATGGATAAGAATTACTATATAGAACAAAGGGTTTTCCAGCCCAGGCATGTGTCCTGATATTTGCGATCCCAGGTGAAATTTTTGTTTGTTTGTTTGGCTGTGGCCATAAACACAACATGATGGGAATATAGGTTGAATGAAGTCACATAACAAACCTAATAAGGTGGTGTGTGACGAATCGTTTCCAGTCTGTGACTCTCTTCAAATGTGCAAGGGCCCCCCAGGGGACCATATGGCCCACATTGAGAAGGGATGGTCTAAATCAGTGGTTCTTAACCTTGGGTTACTCAGGTGTTTTTGAACTGCAGTTCCCAGAAACCGCAGCCAGCACAGCTGGTGGTGAAGGCTTCTGGGAGTTGCAGTCCAAAAACACCTGAATAACCCAAGGTTAAGAGCTACTGGTCTAAATGACTAAATATTTGTTAGAACCACATTTTAAGTTAAGAGGTACATGTTGCAGAGCATCATGTCTCAGCGTTTTCTTGAATATGAGCCACTTACAACTGTAGCTGAAGAATCTCAAAGTATTTTGAAAGTATTAAAACAATATCAAAGCACTGTCTTACAGGTGATTCAGGATGCTTCTTCACAAGAGTCTCATTTTCTTTACATCTAATTCCTTTGTATGGCGGGAGCACTGGAACACACATTTAATGAGTGGAAGACTCCAACAAGAGATGCATTTGCAGTCCCTGTTTTGTAGTTTAGCTCATGAAGAATATTATTGTGGAGAATCAATACTGAACGTAATAGTCCACAGTAGTTTTGTTTCATATCCGAAAATTTTATTTTTAATTACACTGTCTTCCTAAGCACTCTCCAGAAAGCATCTTTCACCTCCTTATTCCTGAAGCTATAAATGAGAGGGTTCAACATGGGAATCATTACTGAGTAGAACAGAGAAGCAATTTTGTCTTGTCCCAAAGAATGTGAAGAACTCGGCTGTAAATACATGTAGAAGACTGTCCTGTAGAATAAGCAAACAGCCATCATGTGGGAAGAGCAAGTAGAAAAGGCCTTTTGCCTTCTCTCAGAGGAACAGATCTTCAAAATGGTGGACAAGATACAGATATAAGAGATTAGAACAATCATTGTAGTACTTATACAAAGTATTCCAACTTGTGCAAATATCACTATTTCACTGATATGAGATCTGGAGCATGAAATTTGTAACAGAGGGGGGATGTCACAATAAAAATGATTGATGACATTTGGCCCACAGAAGGATGAAGTAAAGACACACACAGTAAGTACAACTGAACAGAAAATGCCCATTATATAGCAGCCAGTTACAAGGCAAACACACACTTTTCCTGACATGATGGTGGAGTAATGGAGAGGATTGCAGATAGCCTCATACCGATCATAAGCCATCAGAGCCAAGAGGAGGCATTCGGAAGTTCCACATATGCAACACAAAAACAACTGAGTAACACATCCAGAGTAGCCAATGCTTTTCCTCCCTGCTAATAAATCTGCCAATATTTTTGGAGTAATGGCTGAGGAATAACTGGTGTCCACAAAAGCCAAATTGCTAAGAAAGAAGTACATGGGAGTGTGAAGCCTTGCATCAATCGTGTTTAGACAGATAATCCCTAGATTCCCAGCCATAGTAATAATATAGACAGCAAGAAACACAGTGAATAAGGGGAACTTCGGCTCTGTTCTGTCTGTGATTCCAGAAAGAATAAAGTTGGGGACTCTGGTACAATTGGACAGAGCTGCTCCCATCAATCCGATCTTCTGGCTAGAAGTGAAAAAATAAATTATTTTATTCTACAAATAAAACAAATAGGCTGTTACATACATACAGCAGGAGTCCAAGTAGGAAGAGATGTGTAGGATACTGGTACATAGAGTATGGTGGGGTAGGAAATTAATTGTACCTTCAATTCAAAATGCAATCAGATGGCAATTTAGCTCCCTTTTGGACCACCTATAGCATGGTCTGGTTCGATGCATTTTGTGATGACCAGATGACATGCAAGTGATCACTAACCAACCTGCCCCTGCTCCTCCCCCATGCCCAATCAGGACCTTTTTAGTCCATTGGCAGGTCCACTTTATTTTTATTTTTTGGAGCTGGGCTGGAGCAATCAGGACTGTATACACAGAAGGATTGTTTTAAAGGATATTGCACCCAATAAAGTTATCCTTTCTTATATCACCCTCTGATCACACCTGCATTTGCAGAGGTCAACTGAATTCTGCCAAAATGTTTCTATGACTGTGAGCAGGGCATTTCTAACCAATAATGTATCTAAGAAACACACTACATTGAAGGAAAAACATGTTACTAGGAAAATACTTTTCAAGGATTTTATCTTTCCAAAGTAGCTGTGTCTATCTCTGTTCTTTGATAACATTTTTATTTGCCATTCTTCCAAATACCTCAGGTGACACATCTTTTCTGTTTCATGCTAATCGAAGTGAGTGTGTTGGAGCTGTATCCTCAGAAGGCACGAAGAAACTCAGATGTGAATTGCTGAATGATTTTTCAGTGTCTTCCTTCCAACACAGATACAATTTCTGTCCAGTTTATTACCTCTTTTCTTTGTCATTTCATCCCTGTTGTACGTTATTCCCTTGACTTCAATATGCCATTGATCCCACTTTCGAACCTAGAGAAATACCTGCTACTAGTCTATGTTGTCTGTTACTACTTTGGAGTGACAAGGATCACTTGGAACATAACCCTATGAGTTGTATAATCCTACATCATCTTATTAAGGATGACAGCAATCAGCCAAACCGGGCTGTTGCTTCCTATGGATGCATGGGTCTAGAACCTCAATTCTATTTGTCAGAGCCCAGCATCTCAACCACCTGCTACCTCTCAGGGAGAAAGAGAGAGGAGAGTTGCACAAAAGTGGAGACGTTGTGTGCTAAATGGATGGAGAGGTGTGTGCAGAGCAGCCGGCCAACACCACAGCTGGAGCTTCCTGTGGCATTCCACACTTAGCAGCAGCAGTGTCACCAGCTGCTTTTAGCCACCTATTATGCTAGATGCCATTCCTGTTGATCCCCATGCACCAGACATAGCTTGGCAAAGGCAGCATGCAGGAAAAGGCTGCCTGTCTGCCTTCATGTCCAAGGCCTCCCCTCTTGCAATTGCTCTCACACAAGACAAATAGCTATCTGATTGCTGTGCTTCTAAGCTTGCTTCACTTTTGGTCCCTCCTGAAGCTATCATGATCCACACCATCCCAGGGATATCTGGTATGCACAGCTGAGCTAGACCAAGAGGGAAATAGTAAATACTAAGGAGCTGCAGTTGTGTGTGGGTGCAGTAGCCTAGCATGCATTTACAAGGAAGTTACTATTTTATAATGGGGCTTACCTCCAAGTAAGACTGCAGTCACTCCTCAGAACCCTTAATAATTACATGCTGTCAGGTAGATTCTGACTTAAGTGTGATCCTCCCACATTTTTCTAAATATAAGATATCCCACTGTAGTTTTGTAGTCCCTCATTTTGATGGCATTATTCTGAGACTGTGCAAATTCCCCAAGGCTACAGAGATGGCAAAGTATGTGGCCCTATCTGCCAGCCACACATGATCTTGGCTGCTCCTGGCAGTGATGATTAAAACTCTCAGCCCTACAGCCAGCTGCTCCAACCCACTGAGCTATACCATGCAATAACGCAATGGGAGTCATTTTGAGATGTAGCAGGGATGGAGAATACATGGAGAATTAAGGCACTCGGGCTAGGCTAGAAGGAACAGAGGTATCTAAGGTAGTGTGTGTATGTAGAGGAGGCTCATTGATACAGAAGGTTTACTCTGACACATACCTGAATCTTCTTGGGGAAGGGCATGTGGGTCTGTCTCTTGAATGTTTGATGCCCAGCAATGCCCCTGCAAGTCAAAGAAGTACAAAAGATGCAGAGCAGGAGAGTGGAGCTAAGCTCATGTCCTGCTAATCCACACATTTACTTCCCTACAGTCAAAGACCTTTCCAAAGAAGCTCATTTGAAGAGTTATTCTTCCTTGAAGGTTTTCCATGCTTCAAAGAAAACTGGAAGCTAAAAAAAACCAACAACAACAACAAAAAAAAACCTTCAGCTGTGCCCAGCACTTTTTCTTCCCAGGAAGATTATTTCACAGTCAGTTACCCAGATTTCTGCTTTTCATAGTTAATTCTCAGTCACAAAAGTGAATAAAATCCCCTTGATTTCCACCAGTTACCTCTGTAAAGCTGTATCAAGAATTCTGCAGTTCTTGTGGACTGGAGCATCAGGTGAGTCAGAAGACTGCAGTTCAGAAGAGGTTGTTGGGCTGTATTTATTTCTGCTCTTATCCCCATGGGGAAAGTCTCCCTTAATGGTTCCGTGTTCTTGACATATTTGCTGCTGTAAAGAAATTAAATCCACTAATCTCAGAATGCCTGCCATTTTTGTACCATGGATAGGGAACTTCTAGATATGACCCAGAGGAATGGGGTGAAGAATAGTAAGACCTGCCAGTTTTACTGTACAGCCTTGTGTCAGATATGACCCAAAGGAATGGGGTGATAGTAAGACCTGCCAGTTTTACTGTACAGTAATTCTTAAAAACACCTGGGCCAGTGTCCTGTTTGCCCGCATCATCTGTGCAGCTGTCCATTGTCCACATGGCTGGGCTTTTCTGGAATATCCATGGGTTCCCCTCCGTAGTGTGGCTGCTTCTCGACTGGTTATGAGATGATGCCTGATTTTAGAGTTTCTCAAAGCCAAGGTGTTTCGCTTAAATTGTGAAAAATCACCTCAGCCACCCTTCCCATAATGCCTTGCATCCGAAGACCTCCAAAGCTCAGGCATTATCCACACAACCAGACAGGAAGCGACGGACCTATATAGAGGGGCCAATGGCAATCTGAGGGAAAGAGTGCCAGCTTTCTCTTCCTCCCTGGCCCAGTGATTGCTGCTACATGGCGATGGCAGGGGATGGAAGGTATCCCCAGAGTGCTGCAATTGTAAATTGGATACCTCGCCAAGTTTCTTTTGGTCCCTGATATGAAGAAATGGGAAAAAGTTGATGAATTCTCAAAAAAAAACCAAACCTAAAAAAAACCTGACCTGACCTGAACTGAACCCGTCCTCCCTCTGCACCAGCCAAATTCAATGAACACAGCTGTCTCTAGCATGGATAGGGCTGTGCTGGGCCTGCTTGCAGTACAGGTGATATATAATTTTAAAAGGATGGATCATTCTCCCTGCTACTTGGCAGAATTGCTACTTGATTACAGCTGGAGAGGATGGGCATTGTAGCCCATCACATCTGGAGATTACTAGATCAGAGAAGGCTACTCTATATGAGCTTGAAAATGACAAGTTGTTTTTGTTAGGGAATTCACTGTTCTCCACATGGAATGTGTTCTTATCTTCTGTAACTTGTCAAATTTGCAGTGCTGCTGAGGCTCATGTCACACTTTACGGCTCAGCAAATCTAATTTTGCCAGTAAACATGTGCTCATTAGGGTGCCACAGCTAATCCAAGCTCCTCCGTGTCTTTGGTATGCCGCATGTGCTTTTAGCAAAAACTATGCATCGAATTCAATCAATATCTGAAATCTGAACTGACTAGGACTGATTTGAACATATTTATGTGAGGTCTAGATCAGTGGTTCCCAACACTGGGTCCCAGATGGACTGCAAATCCCAGAAATCCTGGCCAGTACAGCTAGTGGTGAAGGCTTCTGGGAATGTTAGTACAAAAACGTCTGGGAACCTAAGATTGAGTTTAAATCAGTAGTTCCCAACCTTGAGTAACCCAGGTGTTCTTGGACTGCAGTTGCCAAAAGCCTTCACCACCACCTGTGCTGGCCTAAATTTCTGGGAACCGCTGGTCTAGATCAAAGCAAAATGATCCTATCTAGTTCCCAGGTAAAGTGAAAGGGTCTGGAGCATTTTGGACAGATCCAGAGATTTGGATGTTTAAAGTGAGCAGAGAAGAACAAGACAGTGCATCTCCAGCAATGTGAAGTGATCAGGAAAGGGAAGGTAGCTGGTTTTGTTCAATGACATATGTAATCAAAGGCCTTATCTACATTACTGATTAACTCGGTGATATGCATAAAGGAAATCAACCCTGAGTGCTCACTGGAAGGACAGATCCTGAAGCTGAGGGTCCAGTACTTTGGCCATCTCATGAGAAGACTCCTTGGAAAAAACCTTGATGTTAGGAAAGTGCGACGGCAAGAGGAGAAGGGGACGACCGAGGATGAGATGGCTGGACAGTGTCTGCGAAGCTACCAATATGAATTTGACACATCTCTGGGAGGCAGTGGAAGATAGGAGGGCCTGGCGTGCTCTGGTCCATGGGGTCACGAAGAGTCGGACACGACTAAACGACTAAACGAACGAATGCATAGAAGGTTTTTGCTGTGATTTAAAGTCATGTGACAGTCACATTTATTTGTTTGTTTCTTCAATTTCTATACCACTCATCTGGCTACAAGGCCACTCTGGGGAGTTCACATGGTATGTGAATCGCTGCCGGCATCTCCTTCAGACAGTGGTCAAGAGGTTGCATTTTTAGACTGCTGAGTGTGCGTCCTCTTGGGAAAACCTTTAATATGTTTTAAAGCTGTGTTGTCTCTCCATTGAGGGTTTTTTTTTTTTAAATCATTCCATTTGAAGCTTGCCCACTCTGTGCTCATGCTGGCCACTCGTCCCAGCTGCTGTGGTGAAGTGAGGGAGGGAGTGCAAAACTGCTTCTCCCTTTAGAAAGCTTGGCTGCTTCTGCCCCGTCAAGATTGCTCCAGCTGTGCCCATTTGTACCCACAGAATACACCACAGACTGCTTCTGCCCCTTAAAGATTGCTCCAGCTGTGCCCATTTGAACCTACAGAATACACCACAGAAATGAAGGGTGCCTAGATTTGCAGTGGTGCAAAAACACTGATCCAAGTGTGGATCATCCTGAACCCACAAGATTTTAAAGTGCGGTCATCTGCAAAGCACGGATCCATTTTTATATTATTTTATTTTGCCCAAAGACAGGCACCAAACCTGCACCAGATTGGCCACATTCTCCCTTTTCTTTCAGGCTTCCTGGTGCCTGTGTTCCCGTGGTGCTTGCTGCTGCCGCCACCTCCCCGCAAATCTGATGGTTACCCAAAAAATCAATTTGTAGCAACAGAGGTGGTTAGATATGCAGAATCAATTGAAATAAATCAGAAATTTATATGCGTGCTAAAATAAATGACCTTCTGGTGGAACAGAATTTTATGTCGCCTGTCAACCAGAAAGCATGCTTCCCTGGCAAAGTAATCTATATTTCTTTTTAGGTCAAGGAGATACCTTAATTTAAATTGTTGGTTTTTTTTTTTTTAAAAAAAAAACAGAACATGATTCAAGAGCTTTTTATCTTTCTTTTTTTGTCTGGGGGAATCACACCCTCAGGCAAGAATATCACCACCACTTTCCAATTAAATAGCTGCTATGGAAAGATTGTGTGAGGTCAATAAAGCTATATATTCAGTTATTTCACCCAAATCTTCACCATTCTTTTGTCATGTTGGTTTTGCTAATATGTCTCCAGTAGTCTTTTTCCTAATCCTCCTTTTATTTTTCTAATTTTTAAAAAATCGATTGGTAAAATTTGTTTCTGTTGTATAAATCTGTGTGCATTTTATATAGCGAAACCTATCCCATTTTTAACCCATGCTATTGGCCTTAGTTGTGAAGTGTTTAATTTCCTTTCTTCTTAAGACTTTTTAAAATTCTTTCTGTATTTTCTGCATTTGTGCACATGCACATGTATACTTGTACATGCATGCAACTGTGTACACACCTGAATTCTCCCAGGAAGCATAAGTATTTTCCCCACAAATATTATTAGTATCATTATTACTATATTGCATATTTAAGTGAATGAGTAAATAGGAAGTAAATTCACAGTAATTGTCAATATAGTCATCCTCACAAATCAGAGAATACAAAATATACATATTTATGTAAGTAAGTAAGTTGACATCTTATGTAAGTAAGCTGACATCTTGTGTAAGTTGACACTTTATATAAGTAAGTTGACATCTGAGCGTACAGCCTGGAGGCAGGCAGTGCATCATGGCCTCTCCCAATTTGAAGAGACCCTTGTTCAACAGGCCGAGGCAAAGAGGCACTCCTGAAACCACCAAAACCACGGAGCTGGATAAGGGACAGATTGTATTTGTCTTCGGTGTGAAAGGGATCATCACTCTCGAATTGGCCTTCTCAGTCACACTAGATGCTATTCCAAGACCTCAATTCAGAGCACGTTACCAGTCTCTTGAGACTGAAGGATGCCTACAGTAAGCAAGTCTGAGTTTTTAATATGGGCAAATGGAGATTGCACAGAGAATAAGAGCACTCAGTGCCCTGGGTTTGAATTAAAACAAAGAATCCTTGTATTGAGCATTCTCTTTCTCCAAATAACAAAAGTAGAAGCCTCTAAAAGTTCCCAAGTAAACTACTGTATATGAGTGACAGCTTTCCTGTATTGTGCCGTTCCCAGCATCTGGTCACCAGAGATGTGTTTCTTCCTGTTTCTAGCACTTCTAAACAAAGGTGGCCAAACTACAGTGATGTTTGTATTCGTGAAGGCTTTCACGGCCGGGACCTAATGGTTGTTGTGGGTTTTTCGGGCTCTTTGGCCGTGTTCTGAAGGTTGTTCTTCCTGACATTTCGCCAGTCTCTGTGGCCAGCATCTTCAGAGGACAGCACCTCTGAAGATGCCGGCCACAGAGACTGGCGAAACGTTAGGAAGAACAACCTTTAGAACATGGCCAAAGAGCCCAAAAAAAAAAACCCCACAACAACCAATACAGTGATGCAGCTTCTAAACCATCATGGCAAATGTACCAATGGGGATCTACGAGGGTTTCTAGGCTATGCTTAGATGAAGATGTAGGAATGTCTGTACCAAGTGGCTCCTTCTAGCATACTGTGATCAAATTAATGGCAGCTAAAGCTTCATCCAAGCATCAATACCAGGATTTCCAGAGCAGGAAGAGATCCCCAAAACTAGAAGTATTTATTGAAGAAAGAATTTTCAACTGTGGTGTTTCTGATCAATTATATATTTAAGCAGAATTGGAAAAAATGTCACGGTTTTGCACTACAACCAAAACTTGGAGGCATTTCTTTGGACTACAACTCCCAGAATCCCCAGGCCACTGTGGCTGAGAGACACTGGGAGCACAGCTCCAAAAAATAACATATCCAGCCCCCAACTGCAGCTACCACAGTCTCTCAGCCATCCTCGCAAGGTTCAGCAACATCACAGGTTAACAGAAATGTTTCTAGTGTGGAAGATGCTGAAAAGTACAGTCTGGTTTAGCTAATGCCACTGTTCCAAAAATGAAAA